TAATAATTGACTTTGGATGTCTTATCAACTATGGCAAGTGCTATCTTGGAGCTGGATTTAAAAAAAAAATAAAGAAATACACATATCCTAAGACTTAAATGTGATGGAGCATTTGTAACTGATAAAATCAGTTGTGATACAGTTATTTCCAACCCATGGAGACCTCGTGTGTAGAGTAGAGCTGCTCCACAGGGTTTCAAGGGTGTGTCCTCTTGGAATCAGATCACTGGGTCTTTCTTCTGAGATGCCTCTAAAAAACCAAAACCAAACTCACTGCCTTTGAGCTGATTCCAACACATAGTGACCCCTCCTTGGGTTTCAGAGGTGGTATCTCTTGGGAAGTAGATTGCCCAGTCTTCCTTCTGAGGAGTGGCTGGTGGGTTTGAACCATCAACCTTCTGGTTAGCAGTCAAATGCCTTAGGCACTACACCATCAATGGGCTCAAATATCCAACCTTTTGGTTGGTAATCAAGTGCTTAACTGTTTGTACTATAACTGGTATGTGACTATTCATATTTTAATGAACTTTAGAAGAAAAATGATCACTAGCATCTATTTCCTTCTCGGAACACTACTTGAAACAGGACACAGTTGGAAATATGCTAGTGTAAAGGATTTGTCTGGAATCCAGCTCCTTTATAACAGCCCACCAAACTTTTATGCAACCTTGGCCCTTATCTTTTTGTGAGCCTCAGGTCCTCACCTGAATACTTTCCTAACTCTGGGGAAGTGAGAAGATGACATGAATGAATGGAAGTGAAAGATGTTTATAAAAGGCTGTTGATTTTATGGTTCTCATTTCTTTTACCTTCTTGTCATATTATTAACCTCATAGATGAGTGGAGGGGTCAATGGGCCAGTTGCTGTGGAGTTCATTCTGACTCATGGCAACCTCATGGGGGTCAGAGTAGACCTGCGCTCCATAGTGTTTTCAGTGGTTGAATTTTTGGAAGTAGATGCCAGGAATTCCTTCTAAGGCACCTCTGAGGGGACTTGAACCTTCAACCTTTTGGTTAGCAGCTGAATGCATTACCGTTTGCACCACCTGGGGGCTCCAGGAAGAGGAAATAAATAAGATAAGGTGAAAGTACCAGGTCTGTGTGGACCTCATCCTGGGAACTTGATAACTGGTTGTTCCTTTTCACTTCCCACTGTGGAATTCAGGCTGCAGACAGTGGGTGGCCCTTTAAGAACTTGAAACTGCAACTGTACAGATTGGAGGGAGTGGGCAGTTCCTGGTCTTAGAGGACTGGCCAGGCATGGGTGAATGTGGGAGGCATTGCAAGGGCTGAACTACAGTCCGTTCCAATCTTGGCAGGTCACAGGAGGTATCACACAGCAACTGGGGTCAAGCTGGCTGTCCAGCCAACCTTACCTCATTCCCTATCTCGTGACTTCTTCTCTCCCTGTGGCTTCTGCCTGAGGGCTAAGGTGGCAGGCCTGCTCCCCTCCTTCAGCCACCTCCATTTGCCTTGGCCCAGATCTCCCAGTTTAACAAAGGAGTCACTGTGCCACTGTCGTGTTCCAGAGTCACAGAACATAAGGGTTTGAGGGAACAAAGGAACTGAAGTAGACAGATCTCTAAGTCATGGCATTTGATGATCTGAGAACAGATATACATGCACATGTGTACTCAAAACATACACAAACACACACACATGCATCAATTATGTGTCTACATACAAACTGCCTGTGAGGATAAACATGTTACACAGATATATTCAATTATTCACATACATGAACACATGTAAGATGACAATAACAATAATCATTAAAAACAATAATAATAATGAAACCAAACCAAACTCACTGCCTTCGAGTTGGATCTGACTCATAGTGACCCCTCCTTGGGTTTCTGAGGAGGTATCACTACGGAAATAGATTGCCCAACCTTCCTTCTGGGGAGTGGCTGGTGGGTTTGAGCCACCAGCCTTCTGGTTAGCAGTCAAATGCCTTAGGCAATAATAATAATAGTTAATAATTATTCAGTGTCTACCATGTGTCAGGTACTTTATTAAGTAATTTATATAAGTTACTCCATTTAATTAAATTAGGTACAGTTATGATTTGTATTGTATCATAGGAGCAGGCTCCAGAAAATTTAACTTACTGAAGGTCAACAGCCAGCAAGTGTCAGCCAAGACTCAGATCCAAATCTGTGTGAAAGCAAAACCTTTTCTCTGAGCCTAGAATGTAGTAGTTTAGTGAATTCTCTTCTTTGTTTCTCTTCATAATCTCTTGTTTAAGTTCTGCCCAAGGCCCAACCCTTATCCAGCTTCTTCAGAAGCTTGGCTGGGGGGCACGTAAAAGTCTTGCTCTCTCCACACTAGTCTGGAAGGACTTGGGCTGCCTTCCTATTGGGTGACTCCTTATGGCTTTACTTAGTGTGTTGTTAGTTGCCATTGGTTGATTCTGATGCATGGTGACCCCAAGTGTGCAGAGCAGAGCAGCTCCATAGGGTTTTCAAGGCCGTGACTTTTCAGAAGCAGATCGCCTGGCCTTTCTTCCTAGGTGCCTCTGTGTGGATGTGACTCAACCTGTGGCTTAGTGCCTAAGGCACTTGACTGCTAACCAGAAGGCTGGCAGTTCAAACCCACCAGCCACTCCTCGGAAGGAAGATCGGGCAATCTACTTCCACAGTGATACTGCCTCGGAAACCCAAGGAAGGGTCACTATGAGCCGGATCCAACTTGACGGCAGTGAGTTTGATTTTTGGCCAATAGTCGAGCACTCAATGTGTATACAATGCATAAGTTATTTATTCACTTTATAAATATTTTATTAAGCACCTGCAATGTGCCAGGTATGTCAGATATTGCTAGCTCTCCCCAAGTATCTGTCTCCCCCTTCTTCTTAAGCAATATAACCTCTGAATTTTAGCTGGTTATGGTTGCCCAGAATAAAAGAAAAACATTTTCAGCCCATCTGGCAGGTAGGTATGGCCATGTGAATGAGCTCGAGCCAATGTGTGGAAGCCACATGAGCTGATCAGTGTCCTTAAAGGCAGAGCACTTGGTTACCTCCTTTGCCTCTTTCCTGATGGCTGGAATGGGGAGTTGATAATAGGAACTGGATCACTGAGTGGAGCTGCCTGTTGAGGAGAGCAGAACATCAAGCCAGAAGGAAACTTATTCTCTGGTGACTGTGAAGCTGTTATACCAAACTGCTTACCTAAACTTTTACATGAGAAAGACATCAGTGTCTGTATTTTAAAATCATTTTTGTTTGGTGAAGAGCTCTGGTGGCATAGTGGTTAAAGCTTTCACTGGCTAACCAGACTTAGTGTTTCAAGCACACCAGCCTCTCCATGGGAGAAAGATGAATCAGTCTGCTTCTGTAAAGATTTCCAGCCTTGGAAACCTTACGGAGCAGTTCTACTCTGTCCTGTAGGGTCACTTTGAATTGGAATTGACTCAGTGACAATGCTTTTTTTTTTTTTTCTTTTCTTTTGTGTGTGTGTGTTTGGGAGCATAGCTGTTGAAACAGCTGAATTAATATCCTAATTAATACACCCGGTGATGTTATAACCACTGAGGTTACAACCAAGTTTCTTGGGCTCCTGGATCTGACATTCTAATGGGAGAGACAATGATTGATCATGGAAAGTAAATTTGAAGAGAAGAGAGAAATCTATGAAGGTCACGAAACAAGTTACTCTGATAGAGATACACAGATTGAGGGACCATTATCTAAGGAGATCAGGGCAAATCCTCTTCAAAGAGGTGACATTTGAGATGGGATGGAATGACGAGGAAGAAACAGGCCTGGGGAGGTCTGCAGACAGAGTTTTACAGGGAGGACCAAGGACAAGTGCAAGGCCCTGAAGCAGGAGGGAGATCGGAAAGTCAAGGTTCAGAAAGATATACACACGTCTATCTTTCTACTTGAAAGCTGGGCATAGGGTTTTTATTTTTATTTTTAATATAAATATATATATAAAAAAAACCCATCTGCCTTGAGCATTAGGCTCTTTTAAGAACTATCTTACTATCTCTATGGGATCAAAGTGACATAGCAACTGGAAAGATTAGATAGGAACCTTGAGGGGCAGTGAGTTTACGTTAATGGGGGAAGAACAACTCAGAGAAGGAGGGTGAGGATGGGTGCCCGACTCAGAGAATGTCATAACTGTCACTGAATCGTACAGGTAGAAATTGTCTCGCTAAGTGTATTTTCAACAACAACAACAACAAAATAAAATTTAAGAAAATACATACAGGCAGTCCCTGGGTTATGAACATCTGACTTATGTTCAACTCATAGCTACAAACCAACTCCTGTAAAGTCTGTTATATTAAAAGTTTGAAGTACATACAAATAATCGATGCTATTTTGCAACATGCATCAAAACATCATCATTACTATATTATTATGTCAAAGATGTTCTACCGTACCTGGAAGTGTTACTTTAATGTTTTGTATGCATAGGAAGGTACACTCTGTACTATATACTAAGACAAACATTCGGAAGGAAGGTTGGGCAACCTACTTCCATAGTGGCACTGCCTTGGAAAGCCAAGGAGGGGTTGCTATGAATCGGGTCTGACTGGATGGCAAATAACAACAACAACAAGACAAACATTTGCTTAACTGATGTTAGATATGAATCACACCTAACTGTTCTGACTTATGTATAAATTTGACTTAAAAGCAGACTTAGGAACAGAACTCATTTGTAATCCTGGGACTGCCTGTAAATATTTATGTATTGATTAATAAACTCCTTTGTTGGTTCTAAGGACCTTTAATTTGCCTGTCTCCAGGAGGGAAAGTCATTTTTAGCACAAATGCTGGCCAGTTTCCATACTCCCATCCTGTGCTTTGCTGAGACATTTGCTACACACTGTCCTTTGGCATGGCTGACCTCATGTAAATCCCCTCCTGCTATAATTCACTGCCCACAGCCCGGCCAATAAATGCAAGACTCATTCCTGCTGCTGAGAACTCCATCCCCATCCCCTGCAGCACAGCCAGCTCCTTCTCCAGGGACCCACCTGCCATGAAGCTTCTTTTCCTGCTTCTCACCATCCTTCTGGTCATGGAACCAGTGGTGTCAGGTAACTTGAGCCCCTCTTAAGTGGTTGGGATCCTGGTCATGGGCTTCTTCCCTTCCTTCCCCTCACACTGTGGTAGCATCTGAAACCTTTCCTCATTTCATGCAGCTCTGAGAGGTTTTCTCAGGATTATCTTGTATCAACATCTCTCCCTGATTCTTTTCTGCCAAGGCAGTGGAATAACAGGTGTTTTGGGCATTTGGACTAAAGGGCATGAATGGCATTCTGAGGGAGCTTGGGAGAGGCCTTAAGAGTGAAGGATTGGGTGCAGGTTGAGGACTTTTGGGGGGCTTTAGAGGGGTTAAACTGTGATGGGAGAAAAAGACCTTGAGGTTAAACTGATAGAGGGAAGATGGATTGGGATGAGTTGGAGGGGAGAGGTTGGGTTTTCCTGATGGTTTGGGGGTGGCTTGCCAGGGGATGGGATTTGGGGTTAAGTGGAACTAGTACTGGGGATTAGGCTGAGGTTTGGGATAAGGCTGGGTGTTGGTACTAGGTGGTGCAGGGTATTTAGGGTTTGGGTTGGTGAGGTGGGAATTGATTGAGGTTTGCAATTTGATTAGATTTGGGTTTGACTTGGAGTTGCACTCAGGAGGGATTGAGTTGAGTAGAAGTAGGAGTTATACTTAAGGTTTGGGGCTTGAATGAAGTGAATATGGGATCAAAGAAGATTGGAAATTGAATTGTGGCTGGAGCTGGGACTTGTTGGGCTTAAGTTAGACAAGGCCAGGCTATTGATAAAGATCTGGATCTATTGGAATGTGACTAAATCCTCCTCTCCCCCTGTCCCAGGTCCCCAACATTACAGGTTCATTTACAGGTGTTTATTGACCTTTTCCCATCATATCCAAGCTTCATTAGGTGCGAAATCCATTAACATCAATTGATCCCGAAGTTAGGAGTAGGAGGTGGGGAGAAAGGAAGACAGAAGGGTAGGATGTTGGAAAAAACTCCCCTGAAAACCTTGGGATACTGGTTGGAACAATTGTCTTAATCCTCTTCCTTCTCAAGGTGTCTTGTCTCCTGTCCTGGAACTGGGTCCAGCATTACTTACTCAACCCTCTGCCTCTCCTTGCCCCCTGCCCTCCTGCTTTTCCTATACCTCCTCTTTCCTCTTCCTTGAGAGATACTAACATCTGCTCAACGGTTATTTCCATACACCAAAGAGAGCTGTTGGATGGAAGGACGCTGCAGATTGGTGTGCAAAGATGATGAGGACACCATCACACGCTGCGCAAGTCGTAAACGGTGCTGTGTTCCTAGTCGTTATTTAACACTTGAACCAGTAGTAATTGATCAGGGTCAACCCCCCTGGACTACTCCTCTGAAGCCCAAACCAGGCAAGCATAAGAAAAAAAAGAAAAATAATCATGGGTAGAATGGTTTTGGTTCAGTTTTCATAGTTCTCACACTCCATTAAAATTTGCAAATTTGTTTCCTGTGTCTGTCAATCATGACGAATGGACGGGGGATGGAGGGAGGGAGGGTGAAATTCAACAGGAAGCAGAGGGAAGTCTCCAGGGTTGGGCCACAGCAAGAGGGTAATGATTACAACCTTGAAGATAGTTCCTCCTCTATCGGCCATGAGACCCAGACGATAGGTGAACATGTGGGAAGCTGAAAAGGCTTAACGGCTTTAAAGGCCCTGCAGATGCCTGGAGTGTTGGAGACTCTTTAGGCTGGGAGATATGACCCATATTGGGCATGAATGAGCTGGAGGTGAACAGGACCTGAGTAAAGCCCAACTCTTTGGGTTTCTAGCGAAGTCAACCAAGATAGCTTTTGATGCCCTAAGAATCAGAAGTTTCCAGGTAACACAAAGACAAAACGCATATACTTACTCTTTTTTTTCTTTCAACTTTCTTTATTTTGTCATTATTATTGAGAATATACATAGCAAAACATACACCAGTTCAACAGTTTCTTCCTGTACAATTTATTGACATTGACTGTATTCTTTGAGTTGTATAATCATTTTCACCGTCTTTTTCTGAGTTGTTGCTCCCTCATTAACACATACTCACTACCTCCCAAGGTTCCTACCTAATCTTTTGAGTTGCTATTGTCAATTTGCTTCTATCTAGATAATTCTTATTTTTTATTAGAATTCTGGTAGCATAGTGCCTAAGGCATTTGACTGCTAACCAGAAGGTTGGCAGTTAAAACCCACCAGCCACTCCTCAGAAGGAAGGTTGGGCAATCTACTTCTGTAGTGATACTGCCTTGGAAACCCAAGGAGGGGTCGCTATGAGTCAGGGCCCACTCCATGGCATATAACAACAATGGATAATTCTTAAAGGAGCTCTGGTGGCATAGTGGGTAAGGCATTTGGCTATTAACCAGAAGATTGGAATTTCAAACCCACCAGCTGCTCCACGGGAAGAAGATCAAGCAATCTACTTCTGTAAAGATTTATGGCCTTGGAAACCAAATAGGGGTCACTATGATTTTAAATCACTCAATGGCAGTGGGTTTGGTTTTATTTATTTATTTTTTAGATAGTTCTTGAGAGAGCATAATGCTCAAGGCAGATTTTTCTTTCTTTCTTTTTTTAAAACTAGTTAAGATAAACTATTGTTTGGTTTTAAGAAGACTTCAGGAGATATTTTTGGTTTAAGATTTAAATATTTTCTCAGAGCAACAGTTTCAGGGGATCATCCAGCCTCCATGGTTCCAGAAAGTCTGAGTCCATGAGAATTTGAAATTATGTTCTGAATATTCCCCCTTTTGATCATGATTCTTCTATGAACTCTTTGATCAAAATGTTTGTTAATGGTAGCCAGGCACTATCCAGTTCTTCCGGCTCATGGTAAAGGAGGCAGTTGTTCACGGGGGCAATTAGCCACACATTCCATACCCTCCTCCTATTCCTGACTTTTCTTCTTCCACTGCTGTTCCAGGTGAACAGAGACCAATGATGACTTGGATAGCCACTTGCAAGCTTTTAAGACCCCAGGCATTATACAATGAACTACAAGGCAGAACAGAAGCACTAAATGTAGGCCAAGTTAGCGATATGCCCAGGAGACCATGGCCCTAAACCTCAAACCAAGGAACCAAATTCCTGTACACTTACTCTTTTACATATTGATTTATTTTTTACATTCTTTCACAAGTTCATTTATTCATTCCTTCACCTTAGCTCTGCCACTACCATAGGCAGACTTGTTACAAATAAACCTTTAAGAACTCCAGCTTCTGCATCTGTAAAATTGGATTAATAATAAACTCTATCTCAGGATTATGGTAAGAATGACATGAGAGAATGCAGAGCACAATTCCCAGGACATAGCAAACCTTCAAGAAATGTTAGCTGCTGAGATTGTTCACTGATTTATTCACCTATTTATGGCTTGGGAGCTCTGGTAGCATAGTGCCTAAGGCACTTGACTGCTAACCAGAAGGCTGGTGGTTCAAACTCACCAGCCACTCCTCGGAAGGAAGATAGGGTAATCTACTTCCGTAGTGATACTGCCTCAGAAACCCAAGGAGGGGTCGCTATGAGTCGGGCCGACTCGACAGCACATAACAACAACAACAATTTATGGCTTAGGAAGGAGCTCTGGTGGTGCAGAGCCTAAGGCATCGACTGTTAACCAGAAAGTTGGTGGTTCAAACTCATCAGCCACTTCGTGGAAGGAAGATGGACAATCTACTTCCACAAAGATTTATCACCTTGGAAACTCAATGGGGGTCTCTATGAACCAGAATCTACTCAATGGCAGTGGGTTTTATGGATGAGTGTTGTATGCCTTCAAATTGTGTTAGACTGGAAGGGAAATATAAGCCCACCTCGTTTGAACTGACAATTTAGGTTTGGGGAGGACCAACCCATAAGAGTCATTTAGAACCCAGATCTGGAACTTGGAGGCCCCAGGTGTCTTCCCCTGGGTGATACACACAGTTAGTACTCAACTAATACTGTGTGTGCACCCCTAGGCAGGAGGAGAGCCAGGACAGCTGTTTGCAGGGGGTGTGAGTGTCCACACCTGTGCGTGTGAGGCTCCTTCCAGTGTGAGACAGAGCTGGGGATGGGCCTTTGAGATGGGTGGTGGGCTGCAGGCTGGGCCAGCTCTCCACATGCTACCATTTTCCTGTGGGGAACTCTGAGGAATCCCAGAATTATACTTTCAAACCTGACTTTTCATATCATTATGAAGGAGTATTTCATAATGGAAGATAGAATATATTTTATTTATCCCTTGTATTAGGTTGATTTATAAGTTTAAAATAATCAAACATATAGTAGTGGGCTTCCATCTGTGTTCTTGCCCCAGGGGCGTGCCTGGAATTTGGAAGCTTCTCTGGCAAACAATCCATTTCCAAGGCCACTCCTGAGGAAGGAGCCGCATAAACTGTGCTTTATAGTCTTCATGCCTCTCTGTGAGCAACTTGTGTCCTGAAGCCTGAGTAAAACCACCCAGAAGACTTCCTCCCTGGCCTGTCTGCCTCTAGTTTTCTCTGCTTTAGTTTCTACTATAAGAGGGACCCGAGATAGGCAGGCCTGGGGCTCGGGGGCTGCTTTTGACTTAGGAGTGTCTCTATTTTAAGGCCAGGGGCTGAGGTAGGTGGGCGCAGAGGGGTTAGGAACAAGGAAGGGAGATGAATTTATCTGTCAGGGATATCATAGCTGATGTCAGATGGATCTTAGCTGAAAGCAAAGAATACTAGAATGATGTTTACTTATGTTTTATTGACTATGCAAAATAGTCAGTTTTTCATCCTGTGGAGGCTTACATATTGCTGTGAGGTTGGAGGCTATGCCACTGGTGTTGCAAAATGCCACCAGGGTTCCCCATGGAGGACAGGTTTCAGTGGAGCTTCTGTACTAAGACAGACTCAGAAGAAGGAAGAGGTCATCCATTTCTCAAATAAGTGGCCAGTGTTCTGGTTACCCAGTGCTGTTCTGACAAGAGTATACCACAAACAGGATGGCTTGAAGAAACAGGAGTTTATTCTCTTACAGTTTGGAGGCTTTAAGTCTGAGCTCAAAGTGCCAGGCTCTGGGGACTGGGTGGAAACCCCTCAACCTTAGGCTTCAGCTCTGCCTCCTGCTCCTGGCCCACTGAAGCTGGAGGCTTTTCTTCACACTGCTGCTGGCTGCTGAGCCTGACAAGCCTAAGGTTGGCAAGTAATAGGGCACAGTCCCAATATTACCAAGCCACATGGCAGGTTGTAAATTCAAGTCGATTAGAAGTGACTAAGATTGGCAAAGCATGGCAGGCTGCTGAACAACAACTTGGCTACATGCAGGGTTCAAGCATGCCATAAGCTAGAGACCATTCCCAAAGTGGTTTCGTATATATGGGAAGCAGACCACATACCCAAAGCAGCTACTCAGCTTCTCCAATAGATTCCACCATGGAGTTAATTACCAATCTCACCATGGGGAAGAACTACATTCAGCTGCCCTAAGTGAACCCCGGTGGCATTTTGCAACACCGGTGGCATAGCCTCCAGCCTCACAGCAATATGTAAGCTACCACAGGATGAAAAACTGACTATTTTGCATAGTCAGTAAAACATAAGAACTACATTCAACTAGGCCCAGCCAAGTTGACACACAAACTTAACTACCACAGCCAGTGAAAACCTTATGAATAGCAGTGAAACACTGTCTGATACATTACTGGAAAACTTTATGAATAGCCCTGAAACGCTGTCCGATATAGTGCTGGAAGATGAACCCATCAGGTGGGAAGGCACTCAAAATTTGACTGGGAAAGATCTGACTTCTCAGAGTAGAGACAACCTTAACAGTAAGTATAGAGTAAAGCTTTCAAGATTTCTGCTGGCTGATGTGGCACAACTCAAAATGAGTAGAAACAGGTGCACACATTCATTAATAATTGGAACATTGAACATACAAAGTATGAATCTAGGAAAAATATAAGTTGTCAAAAATGAAATGGAACACATATAGATCAATATCATAGGCATTGTTGTTGTTGTTGTTGTTTGCCGTTGAGTCGGCCCCGACTCATAGCGACCTCTCCTTGGGTTTCTGAGGCAGTATCACTACGGAAGTAGGATTGCCCAACCTTCCTTCCGAGGAGTGGCTGGTGGGTTTGAACTGCCAGCCTTCTGGTGAGCAGTCAAGTGCCTTAGCCACTATGCTACCAGAGCTCCTATCATAGGCGTTAGTGAGCTGAAAGGGACTGATTTGGGCCATTTTGAATCAGACAGCCATAAGATCTACTATGCCGAGAATGACAAATTGAAGAGGAATGATGTGGCATTCATCGTCACAAAGACAGTTTTAAGGTCTGTCCTGAAGTACAACACTGTCAGTGATAGGATAATGTCCATACACCTACAAGAAAGTCCAGTTAATACAACTATTACTCAAATTTATGCACCAACCACCAAAGCTAAAGA